TTTCAATGGTACTTTAATTCAATTATACATAATCATTTAATTGAATAAACAATTGGCATGCATGGATCTACACAACTCGTGGATGGTTATACTAATTGCAAGCCTGCATTGTGGAATCTTTAGGGGAATGGATGTTGGAAGCTGGAGCTCTTGTTTTGGCAGATGGAGGATTGTGTTGCATAGATGAATTTGATAGGTAAGCTCTTGTGTAATTGCTTTGGTTCTGAAATTTCTTCTGGAGATTCAGTCCTTTACCAAATGTTGTATATGGTCAATAATTATCTCAATTTTGGCGCTGAAAATTGAAATAAAGAGCTGGATATTCATATCTGTAGGTTTAAATTGGATATTTAATTAGGCAACTTGTGTGGGTAAAAATTATAAAAACATTTTCTTTTGGTTTTTGAATTCTGTATTCATAATTTGATGTTTGTGTCTATTGCTATGCACAAAGATGCCTTCATTTCAGAAGTTCCTTTGCCTATCCAAGTTTTGTTTCTCATTTTTCCATGACGCAACAAAACTTGAAGTCTGTAATAAGATATCATACTTTGTTTTGATGGGGACAAAGCTTTGACTTTTAATTGCACTAAGCTACTATATTTCTTCTATTTGAAACTTGGAAGACCTGAACTAGGTCTACATTTAATTGATTATATTTTTCCAATACATGAAACTTTAAAGTTCTAATTTAACGGGAATTCTGCAGAGTGTGTATTTTCATTTAGCACCCTGGGATTGGGTATGTAACTAAACAATATTTTGGCAGCATGAGGGAGCATGATAGAGCAACAATACATGAAGCCATGGAGCAGCAGACAATAAGTGTTGCCAAGGTAGAATGTTTGAGTACATTACGTAAAATTTTAATGAAATTCAGCTCTCTACAACACAAGTAAACTGGCTGCTAGCAGATCTGTGGTAAAAGAATGTGGCTACTGATTTACTCTCATGCTCTATTCAGGCTGGTCTTGTAACAACACTCAGCACTAGAACAACTGTATTTGGTGCCACAAATCCCAAGGGACAATATGATCCTGATCAACGTATCACTTAAGTTAACATATATTGGTTTAATACTCTTTAAGATTGATGATAAACTACAGTCCTTATTACTCTTGATGTGCAATCAAGAGTTCTTTCCTCTTGCTTCTAGCTATGTCTAAAGAAGTTTGCTATTGCTTCAGTTTCAATACTTGTCTGACTTAACAAAAGGTAGCTCTGTCTGTCAATACAACACTCTCTGGTCCTTTATTAAGCAGGTTCGATATTGTCCTTGTTCTATTGGATACAAAAAATCCTGATTGGGATGCAGTGGTTTCATCTCATATTCTTTCTGAGGTAATCTTTGTCCCTGTACAATGCATAGAGGTTCCCATGACTAAGATTATAATACTTGTATGAAAACTACATCCAGGCAGAATCGGATAGCACCAATAATGACGAAGATCTCGTAAATAGCTGGCCACTTGCTACACTCAAGAGGTAGGTATGAGGCTAATGGCCATGAATAACATTGTCTTGTTTCAGTGTTATACTCTCATCTCTTGATTACATTTAAGCTGTCAGCAAATTAGGAATCTGAAATTTAAGTTTAATTATCTGCTTGTAACTTGATCTTGGGACCCATTGCCCATGATTTAATTATGTTGTCATTTTGAAATTGCTCAGTGTTAGGCATATTAGCCAATTGCACGCTATAATAGAGTAATGGAGTGGCCTTGGTCTATAATGGATGCAGTGATCCTAGTCCTGTGTAAAATTTAATCTACATTGAGTTCCTTTTGCCCTGTTGGAATATGCTTTAAAATGGGATAGATCTTGTTTATTTGCAAATTTCGTAAAATTTAATATCGATGCCTTTGTAAGAAACTCTTGGTTACTTACAATAGTGAAAAGGACCTTGCAGGTACATACAATATGTGAAAGAACATTTCAGACCAGTCCTAACGAGAGAGGCTGAAATAGTTATATCCAGCTATTATCAACTTCAAAGGAAATCTGCAACTCATAATGCAGGTTTGACCTAGAAACCGATTGTTATGTAAAGTGAGTATAATACCTGAAAGATTTATGTCACTTTCCTTGATTACAAATTTGCAATGTAGCTAGAACAACTGTCCGCATGTTGGAAAGTTTGATACGCCTAGCACAAGGTATATAACTAGTACTGGATAAAACTCCTCTGGTGAACGTATTCCGCTTATTCTGTGCTTTGACTCTTTAAATGTCACAGCCCATGCAAGACTGATGTTCAGAAATGAGGTGACTCGACTAGATGCCATAACAGCTATTTTATGCATAGAATCATCCATGACTACCTCAGCTATCGTGGATTGCATTGGGAATGCTTTGCATTCCAATTTTGCTGACAACCCTGATCAGGAATGTATCCTTGCTGTCATTCTTTGCATAAATTAGCCTTACATGCATTTAATGTCACTATGACAACCAAGCCTTCTCTAATTAAATGGGGTTAGTCACGTGGATCAATTGAGATCATTGGGTGGGTGGGTGAGCTCAGTTGCAAAAAACCAAAATTACAGTAAAGCCACACGTGATAATTTTGATACGTATACTTTTTATTCTCGAGCCTAATAAAGTGATAGGATAAGTAGTGTTCTTTAGTTTACATTGAAATTTTCTTAGAACTTTTTACATGGTAATATAGTTTTCCGAAGTCATAAAGATCAATCTGCAGAAGAGATCAATGGGTATTAGAGATTGTGGGTGTTAGATCAAATGAATGCATTTAAATGGCCTGAAATTTTGCGCATGGCTAAGTTATATTCTTGTGTTGCGTTATGTCCTCTCTTCACAGCTTTTTGACTTTGTTTCAACAAGATCCTTACTACCGGTAAAACAGATGCGAAGCAAGAAATATTGATCCGACAAAAATTGAATAGTGTGGAGAGTGAAAGCTAAGAAAGGAAAAAGAAATGGAAGAGTCGTGTAGTATAAGTGGTTCCTTATGGTGGCCTATGCTATTTTTGTTACAGTGGATATGATTTCATTAGCCTTTTTTGAACACTTTTGAGATGTATACTTGACACTATGCTTACACAAGCTATCGAATTATCTTCTTTCCTTCCTGCTGTATATAGTTGTGAATAAGTTGACAGTGTTACAAAGGTTCCAGAAGTTTCTCACAACTTATCAAGTGTCAACTTGTGGCAAAATCAATTGCTTATAATTTTGTATCGCTTGAAAAAGAATAGCACAAATGCATGTGTTTGATTTCATGTTGGATTATTCAAGATGACGTTGAAATATCAATTATTTAACACTATCTGAAGTAAAAATGTATAACATGTTTGATTCTAAATTGAGAAACTGTTTATAATTTCATAACTGATGAAGTTAAAACACCATAAGATAATTTGTGTTAGATAAAAAGTTATACTAAATTATATTATTAACTTATTTTATAATAAATACATCTAGATACAAAATACATATTGTGTGGGTCATTCACCTTCAGAATAAATTGCTTTGGCTATCAACAAATCTTGTGAGCAGACACAACTGATTATTAATTAAATAAACATGCAAAGTAACACTATATATATATATGATGTAGTAAATTATAAGTTTAGAATTGTTAAAAATTTTGAAACACAATTTTTAAAATACTTCTAAAATGTGTGATCAATTTTTTAATGTGTATTTAATTATATTTTAAAAAATGTAAAGATTCTAAAAAATTATTTCTATGGTTATATTATAATAGAGAGGTGTATGGACAAAATATAGGAGTGCATAAAGTAGTATCTAATAATAAGTGAGGAACACCAAAAGCCCGATCTTTTTAATTTGATTGAGAAAAAAAAAAAAGGAAGATCCGAAAGAAATTTGAGGGTGCAGTCTTTCCAACCGTGTGCAGAGGAAACGTTGTTGAATTATCAAAAAGCGGGGAAAGGGAGATTCTGCGAAGCTGTTTCAATTTTGGTCGTTTTGGTGCCCTGTCTCAGACAACCATGGTACGATCTCCCATCTTTACTCACTGAAACCAATACAGTAGATCATTCATCATTAGTTCTACTATTCTTATACAATTTTTTCTCTTCTTTTCAGATATATAATACGCATAAGTCAGTAGCTTCTTTTTGTTTCTTGTATCAAATCTAGGGTTCAGAGCAAAAAATGATTTTTAAAAAAATTATGTTGAATGAACCATTAACTTGTACAATTCCCGTATCAGTCTTCTTTATACAGAGGGGAATCTAGGAGGTACAACAATAAACAAAGAGGACGCCATAATTTGACAACGCAGAAGAAGCAGGAAATTAGGGAAGCCTTTGAGTTATTTGATACCGATGGCTCAGGTTTTGTATCTACACTTCAGCTTGGCATCAAAATAACACTATGGTCCAATTTTGTTTTTTTTTTATTAATGCTATTATTTTGATGATTTTTAGGTACTATTGATGCCAAGGAGCTGAATGTTGCCATGAGGTACTGTTCTTGTTCATAGTCTTAAAATTATTGTCCTATTATTTGGCTGTGATGTTGCGAATGACATCTTATCTTGGCAGGGCTCTTGGATTTGAGATGACTGAAGAGGTATTGTACAGTAACCATTTGATTTTCTTCTGATTGAATTGAATCTTGCATGTTTTGCATTATTTCCTCTGAGAATACCCGATTGTCATGAGGATGGGAACCATCCGTTCTTTCTCTTATTGAGTGTTAGGGAGTCGATCTGTTGTAATGAAATCTAGAAGTTAGCGTTTCAGTGGTATTTCCAGATGATATGCCGTTTGTTAGAGTTCTGTTTGCATTTCTGATTGATAACCTGCCGTGTCATTTCAGCAAATTAATCAAATGATAGCAGATGTAGATAAGGATGGAAGTGGAGCGATTGATTATGATGAATTTGAGTACATGATGACTGCCAAAATAGGAGAAAGGGATACTAAGGAGGAGCTCATGAAAGCTTTCCATATTATTGATCATGATAAAAATGTAAATTTCTGCACTGCTGTATTATACATAATTTTTACATGTTGATTCTAATTAATCGTGGTCTATTCAGGGAAAGATATCTGCATCAGACATCAAGCGTATTGCCAAAGAGCTGGGTCAAAATTTCACTGACAGAGAGATTCAAGAGATGGTTGATGAAGCAGATCAAGATAGTAAGTGATACCGATCATATCCTGGTCAACTTTCTAATTTTACAAGAAAACTTGT